GCACTAGACTCACTATGGGCCTTATTTTGTTGCATGTAGGAGCACTGAATCACATCTCCAGTCCCACAGAGAAGAGTTTTAGTGTGCTGCAAGCAGGAACAAATCACAGAATGTTTTTTGAAAACCAGTTGTTATTAGAAATGGGGGTATTCATATTTGTATATGAATACATTAACTCACCAGTAGCATGGGGGTATTCATATTCATATATGAATACATTAACTCACCAGTGGCAGCCCCACTCATCCTTCCAATCACTCCTGGAGTGCCATTCTCTTCCCAGTCAGCTAGCCGCTCCTGGCAGAGGGAGGGAGGACAGATGAAAGGATAGCATGTCTCCTTCCCAGTCAGCTAGCCACTCCTGGCAGAAGGAGCGAGGATGGATGAAAGGACAGCATGTATCCTATCTGTCTCCTGTTTATCATGCTGCCCTTTCATCCATCTGCAGAAGGATTAGGGACACAAACAAGAAACATCACTGTTGTTGACCGTCAACAATTTATGACTATGGATGGAGAAGGACTGCAGAAGTGGGATTATCCCTCACCCCCAGTCCCTTGTCCTTCTAAGGAGCCTATTCAGTCCAGGGGGAAGTGAAACCAACATGGACAATATATCAGTGATCTCCTACCAACTCTCATCAAACTTAAGAAGCTGTGTGGATGAGTAGCAAAACTTAGCAAGAAAGAAGTCCAGTTGCCATGACTCAACTTCCAGATATTCTTGTTTTGTGCCTTAGTTTGTTGCAAATGGTGCATACGCCTGATCCAGGCATTTAGTCTATTTAACTGAGAATTAGGAATGTAGAGGTGTTGAGTCCCACTCCCAATACACATGCATTTCCAGCTTCTCTAAATTAATAGTAATCACCTTTGGGTATCTGTGGCCTACAATTCCCATCTGCTTTAGCCCCCTTAGTCAGTGCTGAAGGATTATGGCTCATGGGAGTTTCTGTTGAAAAACATTTGAAGGATCTCAGTTGCACAAATCTGTATTAATGTCTGAAGGGTGATGCTAAGCATCTTTGACTGAACACACCACCCATGTGTTACATTTCTGCCCAATTTAGAGAGATATATATACAGTGGTGCCTCGACTTACAACCTTAATCTGTTCTGGAATGATGGTCGTAACTCAAAACGGTGGTAAGTCAAAGCACAATTTCCCATAGGAATGCATTGGAACGTGATTAATCCATTCCGGCTGGGAAAAAAAACCAAAAAAACCCATCAAAAAACACTGCAAGCCCCATCGGAATGTGTCGGGCTGGAAAAAAATCACCAAAACAAAAACAACAACAAAAATAAAAAATAAGCCCCATCAGAATCCGCTGGGGCTGAAAAACAAACACACCAAAAAAATGCAAGCCCCATTGGAATGCGCTGAGGCAAAAAAAACCCACACCAAACACATCAAAAAACAGAACAGCACAGAAACATAACCCCCCAGCCCAAACCCACCCTGCAAAACCCTATAAATGTACCTACTCAGAAGCAGAAAGCAGCATCAGGAAGTCCCAAGCCTCCTCTGGCACACTCACTGTAACCGCTGGGGTCGAGGCACCACTGTAGACAGAAAAATCTGGAGGACCAAAGCCCCACAATCCTGCCATAAACATTCAATACAGCGCATGACCACTTTGGAACAAGATATGCACACTATGCTTTTTTGTGTAAAATTTACATTCATCTTAAGCCTGATGTTAAAAGTGTAGGTTGTAAAACTGACATGTTTACATATAGTGCTACCTGAACAATGTTTAATTTCCCCCCTTGTAATTTAATAATCAGAAGTGCTGCATAAATAAAACAGTATAACAGGGTACAATATTGATAAAACACAACAGCAAGAAGCTTGTTGGTCTTTATATGAGGTTTGCACAACTTCCCATAGCTAATTGTGACTAAGTGATATATCACAGCATGTCTCAGTCATGTGTCCTATTGCCCAATCAAGATGCACCCTGGCACATCAGCAGACACAATTAACCAGAGCAATTTATGCAAACCTTATGCAAACACCAGTAAGGTTGCAGCCAGCATGTAATGATGGTGAGGAAGTTAAAACATCCAATCTGCTTAATGACAAAAAAAATCTTCAGTCATACAGTATACACTCTAAGCATAGCAAAGAAGGGTTATTGATTGATTGATTGATTGATTGATTGATTGATTGATTGATTGATTGATTGATTGATTGATTGATTGATTGATTGATTGATTGATTGATTGACTGATTGACTGATTGATTGATTTTGCCATCTAGAAATTGAAGACTTTATAGCACAAAAGGACATTCTTCTAAAACCTCAACTGTTCAGGAAAGGGATCCATGTGATAAAGAGTCGTTACTCATGCAAACAATAAGTTATGTACAGCGATGCCTCGCAAGATGAAAATTCATTCCCCGAGTCATTTCGTATTGCGAAAATTTCATCTTGCGAAGCATGGTTTCCCATAGGAATGCACTGAAATTTAATCAACGTGCTCCTATTTGTCTTGAGAAGCACAGGCATAGAAAAATTTGTCTTGTGAGTCATGAAAAAATCACAAAACGCTTTCGTCTTGTGAGTTTTTCATTGAGCGAGGCATTCATCTTGCGAGGCATCACTGTATTGGCAATCTTGTCTTCCCTTCCAAAATCTTTTGTCATTCTCAGTTTACCTGTGAGCCTTTTATAGAAGTTTACAGATGACACACAGTTCATCCCAACCATTATATTAAAACTCTCAAAGGCTTCTCAGTATTTCGCTGTTTCCAAATAAGCTGCCAGTAACATCATGTTTACCAAATCTTTATGTAAATCTTTAGTAAACAATGTTTACTAAGAAGTAAATAACGATGGCTGAAATCCAGTAGTAAGTTGCAACCAGAATAAGCCTATTGAACCAGAGGAGTTGACTCACCAAATTTCCAATGATTCAATGGGCCTTCTCTAGTTGTGACTTACTTCTGAATTTCAGTTATTGACTTCAATCTCATATAAGGTCATCTATGAAAAAAAGCATTTACTAAAAGCAAGATGTGACAGAAAGAGCAACATGCCCAAGATATGCAATCATGGAACTAGTTCAATCAGAAGTAATATGAGAAGGATTCTATTTTTAATAGCATTGCATCCTTTCCAGTCCCTGCAGGTTGCTCTTCAAGTACTTTTCACATAACAAATGTAACTTTGGCCTTGGGAGCAGAGCTGAGGAGGAAAATGTACAGGAATTGCATTTCCGGCCAGCTGAGGCTCCACATCCTTCACCACTGTGCTCATTTGATGAGTAAAATTAGAATCCCCTGCCCTCCTCCTTCTACATACTGGGGACAGTTTTATAGATACAATTTAAATCCTCAGAACAAGCCTGGTATCTTTTCTCCACAACATGTTTTTCATTATGCCACTAGAGGGTACTCTTTGAAAGTTTCCAAACTTTGGATCAATAATGTAGTTCCTCTTGAAAAGGAAACAAAAAGCTCCCAGTCTTTGGAAAAGGAAGAACACAAATACACGACTGTGCAAAAAATGGCTTAAATAAATAGTATTGATTCAAAAACTAGCTTCTGTAAGCCGTGCTTGTCTCATGTTATCTTTATCATGATGATGCCTTCCTGTGACACAGCTAAGGTGCGAGCTATGTAAGGTAAAGGCACACTTGGTGTAAATCTACTTAAAACAGTAAGGATGGCATTGCCCTAATTACAATGTTAATGATCCAACATATTAAGGAATATCTGTTGTTCTTGGAGCTGGTAGAAAATAACAAAATAAGGCACCAGCTTGAAGCAACTGCTAATTCAGTGACAATTTTACTACAAACATTATTTTTTAAAAGAAATAACAGTACTAATGCATAACTATATACATTGGTTGAAAACCTATATGAATTAAGCCATATGAAGTATTTCATCATCCAAACAAGTACAATGCAGCGTGCTAACACTGGTTTCTACTTCTTTTAAAATGTATTTTATTTTTATTAGATTTTTGTCCCAATTTCTTAGCTTAGAATAGCACTTAAGACAGCTAGCCAACATTGTTAGAGCAAATTAAAACATAATAACATGCTTGTTGCCCATTTGTGTGACTCAACTGCCTCAGCATTAAGCCACCATTAAATACCAATGCCAAAAATTCAAGTATCAACAGAAACAGCAAATCACAAAACCTGAAGTGAAGGCACAGCAGGAAGAAACAGCTTCAATATGTTGATAATAGGGAAAGAGAAAAAATATTTAGTGGAAGGACTTTCTAAAAAACTAAGTTTTGTCCAGACCTTAAAATGTAACAGTTTGATAAAGCTCAACCAGAAGGTGTCTCCACAGAGTAGGTGCTACCATTAAAACCACCCCGTTTCTCCACCAAGCTTCGGACAGCCAAAAAATCTGGAGCCGGGCCTGTGATTCTAAATAGATCACGTGGAGAGAAAGGCAGGGTGTAAAAACAAAATGAAAGTAAATGAAATATGGAAATATGAAAATAACAAAACAAGACACCGGCTTGAAGAAATTGCAAAATCAGTGTTCATTTTACTGAATCATCTGAGAAAGTGGACTTATCCACAAAAGCTCAAATTAAAATACAGTAGTTAGTCTTTGATGTGCTACTACATTTTTTTCTTCTGTCTTTATTTTGTTGTTGTTGTTTTTGCCCGATATAGAAGAAGATAGTCCTTTAAGAGCCACATGCCATGGAGTTTCATAGGATAATCTAAGGTTATCCAAATGTTCTGGGACTCCAACTCCCACTAGCCTCCTTTTTAAGATCACAGCTAATGCGAAATCCCAAACTAGAAAAAGGTGTCCTCACCTTCAATGCCATCTGCAATATCCCACAAACTGGAAACCTAATACAGTATTTTAGAAGGAATGGCTGTGATTTGAACACCTTCCCTAACACTGAGCTCTGATTTACTATGCCATTTTGTATCAAAAGGACAATTTCCTCTCTTTTCATAGGAATTGATTGAAGTCATCAACATTTGCAAATGCGAAAAACAGTAACAAGTCTACCTTCAGATCGATGAGTATCCAGAGGTGTTTGAGTCTCCTTGGAATATGACACCACTTCTCGAGGCAAGAAGTCCACCTGGGTGATCTTCGACACGCCTAGCTTGTGCAGGCGGCGCCTAAAATAAGCAAATTTTAAAAAACGTTAGTAGAAGCACTGACATAATACGGCAGTCAGTTCTTGAAAGATGAGTTTTTAATCTTTCTGTTTCCTTGACTTGCTTCTCCGTCAAGGGGGTGAAACTGTTGCAAGCCAGGACTGTACAGTTTGCACTCTCTTTTGCTTCCAAACCTTTTGCATCTAATTTTAAACAGAATACTCCTGGATAGAGAACAGCAGCCGCTATCTCTGGTGCTGCATTTTTAAAAGAATACAATTGACAAGCTCTCCCAAATGTCAATTTCTTTACAGTTTTACATCTACAAGTACACAGGAAAGAAATATCCATTGGAAAGTATCAAATATGGCCAGTAGAGATGAGGGTATTCGTATTTATATCCAGATGGCGATAACAAGGTCCATTCACTGATCCGCCGCAGCCGTGAGCACTACAGAGCCTGCTAATGGCTCCGAAGATCATGTTCAGCTTGCCACTCCTGGCAGGAAGCGGGAGGACAAGCCTCACTGCAAGGTCGAAGAGTGGCTCGCCGATTGCGCGCTGCGGAGCCATTGGTAGAATCGCAGCATCTGCAGTGGATTGGTGAGTGGACCTTCTAGCCCCATGGGGCTGGACAATCATTATCGCCACATTGGTAGAATCGCAGCATCTGCAGTGGATCAATGAGTGGACCTTCTAGCCCCATGGGGATGGACAATCATTATCGCCACCTATGCAGGGATATTCATATACAAATACAAATACCCCTATCTCTAATGGCCAGTTCTAATCATGTGCTGTATCTGAATTACGCTGCATCAGAATCTTTATAAAGTCTTAAAATTCAAAGAGAAAGGACAGGAAATGCCTGACCCTGCTCAGGTACAGCCAATATCCACACGTTAGTCCTGTCTACAAGGTGCATGCAACATTTGCCATCATGCAATTTCTACAGTCTCATCCACACTCTATAAGATGAAGTGATGAAGGATGAGGTAAGGAAGAGGGAGAGGACAACTATGTATATTGCTTTGAGTTCACTGGAGGAAGGATGAGACAGAAACATAACAAATAACATTCCCTCTGATCTCAGTGAATTTAGATTGGGGGAGAAGTTACCCTTTTCAGAGGGCTTCACTTTTCTTAGAAAAAAGATGAGCTCCCCTAATTTATTTATTTTTTTTTGAAATGTATTAAATTATGATACTGAAGGTTCAGTAGAGATATCTTTACAAAAATAGATGTACACAGGGCAACATGGAGAAAGCCCATTAAGGAAGCCATTTCAACATAATTCATGCAAATGAGGTCATAATAGAAGCAAAGCAAAAAAAAGGAAAAGGAAAAAAGAGTGGACATATACCCAAGTTCAGAGTCAGACTGCAGCTGCAACACTGAAGGGTCTGTGTCCCACTGCAGGGTCCTAGCCGGGTTATCAGCCGCACAGCACAAAGAGGGGAAAAAAGAACACACAGGATTAACTGAAAGGATGGGAGAGGGAGGTGAAATCACTTCATCACTCATAGTTATGTTACACAAGTACAGAACACAGTTCCAAAAACCCAACAAGGAACCACACAGTGTTCACTGTCAGACAATAGCAAGTCATTCGTTGGTACTCTATGTCAATTTGCAGAATGTTACGCTGGCATTCAATATGAAATGTTTATTCTGTTTTGCTTAATGGAAGAGAATAAATTCGAAGAAGAAATTGCCTGTGACACTAAAAGTGTACCTCAACTTTATTGTCTTATTTACTCTGATGTAAACGCACGGGATCCTGAACCAGATTAGAAGTACTGCAAGGAGGTAGATCTTTATTTTCAAACACATACCCACACACTTGTGTTAGCTAAAGGGTGTTGGAACACCAATGGTGACAATAGTTTTTTGTTTGTCTGTGGTGTGCAGGTAGGGTTAGCAAATAAATAAATAAAGATAAGAGGGAGGAGGTATAAATTCCAAAACAAGCAAAGCAAAAATTAGCATTGAAATGTTATTTAAAAAATGCTTTCTTCTTTATTCCAGAGACTTTCTCAGGGGAACAAAACTAAGACATAAATAAACAAAAATTTGAATAACTTAACATGAAAGAGTAAAAAAATTATAGCAACTAAACCAAATAGACATAAATATAGCTAAATGTAAATGAATGAAATGCAAATATCTATAATGTAATAATTTTTAAACCAACTCACATTAACAGCATGCCTCCTTCCTTTAGTCAATAAAATAAAAATCATCAATTAAATCTTCAGTAATTTTTTATAAAACTGAATTATGGTGTTCTTCTCCGTAGGAAGACATATACAGTATAATAATATACCCGTTCTTCCAAGTATATGAGAATGTTATTATAACCAGTACATTTTGGTATTCAGAATGCAGAAGCTTTTCTCTAAACATGCTAGGAGTAAAGGGTATACAGTATTTTTTCAGATTTAGTTTCATTCTAGGCTTACATAAATGTTATATTGATCATTTTTGGTGCAAACACCTAAATGCCACCCACCCCTGTGTGGTAGACCCAACACAGATCAGAGTTCTGAGTTCAGTGCTCCTGTAAAAAGAAAAAGTTAAAGATTTGGTTGCACAATGTGCATTTAACATAGTACAGTATGTGGTTTAACCCTCTAGGAATAAATCTTAGTTGCTTAAATTCTAAATATAATTAGTAACAAGTTTTAATTGTGGGGAACAGCCAATTCACTCCTTTGTTTAAAAAAAACGGTAAAATCGAGGGAAACTCTTGGATATGCTGGGACTATGTACATGTGTACCCATGTGCTTAAGCAATTCCTTTCTAAGCAAAAACTAGTTGTAGTAGCTTGCTAGTTTGTAGTACCACATTCATGAAATGTATAGCAAGAAGCCTCCATGCAGCATATATGCATGGCAAACTATGCACACATAGAAGAGTACTTAACAAAGGCACATCTGAGGAAGGATTCTGGAAGGACAGCACTGATCCTTGGTGTCTTCAACTTGAATTTAGTTCTAAACACGGAACCAAAAATATCTCCCCCACTCTGGCTGCCTTGCATTGGCTGCCCGTTCATTTTGTCAGGATATTGTAATTTTGTAGGCCTGAACCTGGATTAAATGTGACATTAATGAACTGCCATAATGAACAGATGTGTGACTGCTGAGTCACTGTGACAGAGAAGAGGATGATGTGATGTCTGGAGAAGAGGTGACACCCAGGTGGAGAAGATGATGTAATGTATCCTGTGATTGGACAGAAGAAGCTCTGTAAATATATATAAGAGAACAGTGTAGGCATTAATGTATTCTTCTCCTTCTATCACTTGCTGCTACCCTCTATGCCAGTTTGTCTGATGATTGCCTGCTACGCCGAAGTGCTGCCAGTTTGTATATTTGTATATTTTGTATAATACACGTCTTGCTATAGAAGAAGAGCGTGTCTGTGTCTTCAATCAATTAACTCTGCATATTTTCGCGGCGCTAAGCTGACACATTTCCATGTTGATTTCAAAGTGTTAATGATGACATATAAAGCCCTAAATGGTTTAGGACCTCGATATCTAGCGGAATGCCTCCTCCCACCTAGATCTACCCTCATTCTAGCCAGGAAGGGTAGCTGAGGGGCCTAATGCCGAGAGAGGCCCAGAGAAAAAGAAACAAAAAGAAAAGGGCCTTCTCGGCAGTGGCCCCTCACCTCTGGAACAATCTACCCTCAGAAATGCTTCCTGGAGGACTCTGGGAGTTACAGTCCAGCTAGATCACTGAGATAGAGATGTTGCCTAAAGATAGAATCTGCCTTAAACACACTACCTGTGAATGACAAGATTTCATGTAGTCATTGTGACCCAGAACCCATATACTAGCCTGTTTCCCCACCCCCCGTGAATTTATCCATTCGGCCATTCAGGCCCTCTGAGACAACTGTCCTCCCCATATAAGTTGTGGCAACAAACTTCATAAAATAATTGCTTTTTTGTGTGAGGAAGAACTGTCTTTTGTCTTTTTTAAATCTCCTGCCAACCACTTTCCCTGGATGACCCTAAGAGGAACACTTTCAACTAACAGAAATGAGTTCTTCTCATTCCAGGATGTGGAGCACAGTACACTGAGGAAGTGCAGTCCACAAACCCTGTTGAAATAAATGGGAGCAACACCAGATTCTCAGGGATCATTCCAGACAAGACAAGGTTTTTACTGTGCAATTACCATATTTTTCCATTTATGAGACGCCCCCATTTATAAGACACTCCCTCCCCAACTTTTCTAACCCAAAACCTACTGTGCAATTACCATATTTTTCCATTTATAAGACGCCCCCATTTATAAGACACCCCCCCCTACTTTTCTAACCCAAAACCTAAGAAAACTTAGCTTTGAGTATTCAGCCTCTGGGCTCAAAATGCTCGGACATTAGGAGTCCCTGTTGAAACTGAGCCTATAGGCTTAACCTCCAACAAGGTGTGTTCCAATTGCGTTGTTCAGCATCAGGTGACGTCAGTTCCATAAGGCTTGTGATTGGAAGAAGCTAAGTCTCCTGACTGTAGGAAGCTGAGCTTTGTAACTGAAGGAAGCCTGTTTACAGAGGCAAAATACAGGCAATTTTGTTCTCTCCATGTTCTCAGCTTACTTCCGTGTATAAGACGTCCCTCAATTTTTAGTGTAATGATTTCAGGAAAAAGTAGTGTCTTATACATAGAAAAATACGGTACTCTTGTTTCATTCGCAGAATCTTAAAGGATTCCCAAAAGTTTTCCTCCAGTGTTTCCCCACTGATTCTTCCATTCAATTTTTATTTCAACATAAAACATGTTAAAGAAGAAAAGACCGAGGATGAGATGGCTGGACAGTGTCTGCGAAGCAACCAACATGAATTTGACACAACTCCGGGAGGCAGTAGAAGATAGGAGGGCCTGGCGTGCTCTGGTCCATGGGGTCACGAAGAGTCGGACACGACTAAACGACGAAAACATGTTAAAGAAGAAAAAACTGAATCTAGTCATTCCTTTTAGCTGAGCTTTCACAAATGATGTCAAGTGTACTGTACACTTGATAGAAATTGGGAAAATTACTTTTTTGGACTACAACCTCCAGAATGCTCCTCACTAGAGGATTCTGAGGGCTGCAGTCTCTCAGTGGAATCTGTCACAAAATTATGGCAAACAAGGGCTACAGTCTTATGTGTACTCTCCTTTAATTAAGTCACTCTGAACACAGTAAAACCCACTTTTTTTGTAAAACATACAGATTGACTAGGCTGCAAATATGATCCAACTTCTCATACCAGATGGGCTAAATTTCTGTTAGTCCCATGTTGAAGAGGAGAAGCAAAGTAATTTGCAACACACTGATACAGTACATTGGGAGGGAGGGGAATCAATCTTAAAAGGAGTAAACATTGCAGATGGTATTTTCAAAGATACTTAAGGACAGCAATACTTACGTATACGAAAGGATCTCAGAGCTGGCTATGGTAAAACTGCCACAGAAAATTCTGTGTGTTTAATTAAAAGCATAACCATCCAGTTACATTTTGTTCAGGATTTTTAAGATGGCTGTGCGGCACAGAGCAAGAGAAAAGTAAAGCCTTTGAAAGGGGCAGAACCTACCCACCTGCCCGAGCCTTTTTTATATAATTTGGAGCAACGAACACATAAAGAGTTGAATACCTGCTGCCAAATACTAAGCCTAATGTGTTACAGAAGTTGCATATAAAATGGAAACAAAGTGAAAAATCACCTCTGTAATGCTGCCAAGGTCATTAACGAAAAGTGTGATTTGCTGAGTATGTGCCAGCTTCTAATGTTATGAGTGTCATGGGGCCACTTATACCTACACACCCGTGATACTTAGGAGGGTATATATATATGCAGTTTGCTTGAGGCAGTCATTATGCCTTTGCTCCATCCTCTTTCAAAAGCTGTCACATTTGCCAAGTGACAAACAATATTCCATTAGGGAGAATACCATTACAGTGTGATTAAAGAAAGAGCCTGGGAACTAAAGTCTCATCTGGGGAAAAACAGTGACGGTTACCAGAGGAAGAGGTCACCTTGGAGAATTTGCATGGGTTGAAACGTCAGATATGTCTTTGCCAGCTTCAACCTCAAGCTAGCACTTAGGCTGTTCTCGGGCTCTACACAAGGAAGGTGATAAAAGATTACAGTGTTCTACTTATGAATCAAGCCTTTCTGTTGGACAGTGCACAGAACAAGTTGCCTGATGTCCTTATAGCACCTATTAATAACATAAAATATGACAGCCCAAACTGATGACAGGATGAAACCTAAATTGCAGCGCTGGTTACTTATTGTATATTTATTTGTTACTTTTCCATCCTGCCTTTCCTCCACTGAACTCATCCATGACTTTCCTTTTCACCTTTATCTTCACAACAACCCTGTGAGTTAGGTCAAGTCAGCATCATGTGACTGGTCCAAA